AAAAAAAAAAAAACGCTCTAATAAAGCACAGTCACTACTATGTACCATAAAACTGAATCAGGGAATTTTTCCGTTCACAGAGGTATGGTACAGTACTGTCCTGCATCTATAAACCAAGAGTATACAATGAAAAAGACATAATTTGATTGCAATTTTTTTGGTGGGACTGGAGTTTGAACTCAGGGCTTCACATTTATAATAAAAAAAGACATTATTTGAGACTTGCCTCTACTTTTCCAGCAGAGGGCCCAAGGGATGGTATGACACAATGCTGTAAAAAAAATGCACTTTCTTCTGCTGGGCACTGGTGGCTCATGCCTGTAATCTAGCTACTCAGGAGGCAGAGATCAGGAGGATCGTGGTTCAAAGCCAGCCCAAGCAAATAGTTGGAGAAAACCTATCTTGAAAATATCCATCACACAAAAGGCTGGTGGAGTGGCTCAAGGTGAAGGCCCTGAGTTCAAGTCCCAGTACCGCAAATAAATAAATAAAAAGCGGGAGGGGGGAGGCTGGCAGTGGCTCAAGTGGTAGAGAGCAAGTGCTGCCAAAATATAAAAAAATAAAAAGCCAAAGGGAAAAAAACCCTCAAAAACAAAACTATCACAGGAATGAGGCATCCTTCAGTTCCTTGAATTCTTGCCAAACTCCTTCCTGCGCAGGTCTTTGAATCTGGTGTTCCCCCTTCCCGAATGCACTTTCTCCAGGGTGTGTTCCCCTGCAGGTCTCAGCTCCATGTCACTGCCACAGAAAAGCCTTCCCTGACCTGTCATCTACAATAGCATGGGGGAAAAGTAGCTGGGACTGCAGGCTGAGGGAGGAGGATCACTTCAGCTCAAGAGTTCCTTGGGCTGGTGGTGTAGTTCAAGTGGTAGAGTGTCAGCACAAAGACCTCAATTCAACCCCCAGTACTGCCAAAAGAAAGAGTTCAAGCTGGGCACCAGTGACTCACACCTGTAATCATAGCTACTCAGGAGGCAGAGACTGTGGTTCAAAGCCAGCCCTGTGAAACCCTCTCTGGAAAAAACATATCACACACACATACACAAAAGGCTGGCATAGTGGTTCAACTGGTAGAGCAAGTGCCTAGCAAGTGTGAAGCCCCGAGTTCAAATCCCTGTACTGCAAAAAAAAAAAAAAAAGAAAAAAAAGAAAAAAGAAATGCTGAGCCAGAGTGTTGACCTGAGCCTGTCATCTCTGCACTGGGGAGGAAGCAGAGGGATCACTATCTAGTGAGCCCCTATGTCAAAACAAGCAGAAAAACGAAATGCTATAAATTTGCAATGAAATGAATTTGATTTTTAAAGGTCATAAATACTCAAAATTCAAAACATTCTAATTTTTCACTCACTCTGTGCTCCTGAGGCCATTTTATCCCTATTTTATCTGTACGGTAGAAATAATATATAATGGTGCACGGCTGAATCCCGTGTTTAGTAACTACACGTCGGTTACTGGAAATCTGACAAGGGATGTAAACCATGGAAACTGACAAATAGTAGAAAACAGATTCCCTACTCCCACATGCCCCTGCCAAAAGCCGGTTAACCATTGACCAGCACACCGAGAGCACTTGGTAAACGCTGCTTCATTATTACATTTTATGTTTTGTGCACTCGATCGTGATATATAGATACACAGATATGGATAGATATATAGATCTCTCTCTCTTTCTATATATACATGTATTCTTTATTAGTGGGTCAGAGCTAAAACTGTTTTTTAAAAAAGAGTTTGAAGAACACAGAACTACGAAAGGACGGATAGCATCCTAAACTACACCTCGTTAACTCTCTCCCAGTAACGCTGTGAATTGTGCAGCACTGATAATCCCCGTTTTCCAGATGGAGAAACTGAAGTTCTGAGACGGGTAACTTAAAGGCAGCACTACAACTAGCGGAAGCGGGATTTGAAATTCTAGCAGAGTAGCTTCGCGCGCTCGCGCACTTTATCAACGTCCTTTCCTTATTCTCAATTTCACGCTGCCCGGGGTAATTTCGCTATGGTAAAACGAGTGAGCAGTTGCATGTTGGGAAATGTAGTCTTTAGGCTCGATGACCATCAAGGTCCAAAAAGGAAGGCGGAGTAAACCGATTTTAGCCCCACCTCCCTTGTTTTTGACACCAGGTTTCACTATGTAGCCCAGGCTGGCCTGGAACTCCTAATATTGCCCACTCTGGCCTCGAACTCGCCCTTCTCCTGCTTCGGCCTCCTGAGCAGTGGGATTCGACCTTGGCCTGAGAACAAAAGAACGAAAAATCAGTTTTCGTGCGACGTGACGTTCTGGCCACACAGTACGTGAGTGAATTTGGCTCGCCGTTGCATGCTGGGAATGACAGTTCGAGTGAAGCGGATTTGTCGTCAAAAGATGATGGGAGTCACGTGGTACTCCCATCATCAGGTTGGTTCCGGACCTCTCCCGAGCCTCAGTGTCAGCCACGCTGCGATCACCTTTAGGCATGTGCCACAGGCATCCGAGTCAACTACCAACACCAAGTGAAGCTCTACCATTGCTCACCGGTTTGCGCTCTTGCCGAGGCTCTGGTTGCTGGCGTGTATCGTGGGACCAGCCTTTTCCTCCCGCTCCTGTCTGTTCCGAGAGCTAAGGTAGGCCGTGGGGCACCGGAGTAGGAGCATTCCCGGCCGAAACCGGAGACACGCCTGCACTGTCCCGCCCAGGGGACGGAGGGAGGGAGGTCCGCTCCCGGCCGATCTGCACCGGATGGGTTCCAGACCCAAAGTTTGTCTACAGCAGGGGACTAAACTGCGGGGTGAGCTCTCCGGCTAGGGCGTGTGGCGACGCCACAGTCCAGGTATCCACAGAGCCGCCTAGAGCGGAATCCGTTAGTCCCAATGGGGCCATGGTGTTTGGGATGAGGAGGAGGGACCGGGATTGTAGCCAGAGGGCTGTTCATGGAAGGTGAGTTGTTACTGGGAAATCAATGAAGACTAGTGGTATTTTAGTTGAAATGTTTATTGGGGCAGACGGGATTTAATAATGAGGGGGTTGTAGAGTTGACAACTAGAAGAAGTCCGATGTGGATGAGAGCGTTGAGCGGTCGATGGAGAAATGATATTTAAGCAGGCTAATAAAAAGCGATGGGACATAGTAATCCAAATGCCAATGGTGAGACTATGGAGGGAATAATAAATACAGGTGTGGATCATGATCAACGGATTAAAGTATGACCAGGGAGGAATTAATAGGGACAGAGTAAGCAAGTGTGCAAAGAGAGGGTAAGAGAAAGCTGTTGGGAGGGCAGAGTAGGCTCTGAGAGCATGGGGAGGGAACTCTTGTGTGAGCACAGAGAGTAATGTGAGTATATGTTAGGAAGGGAATACTGGAGGCCGGTGCTGTGATTGTGAGGGTCAGTTGCAAGTTTCAGTTAATGGGGGAGGGGGTTCTCCAAGCATTACTAGGGGCAAGGATGTAGTCATAAAGGAATTGCTGGGCTGAGCGCCAGTGGCTCTCGCCCTGTAATCGTAGCTACTCAGGAGGCAGAGACCAGGATGATTCAAACCCAGCCTGGACAAATAGTTTGTAAGACCCTATCTCGAAAATCCCAACACAAAAAAACACGGCTGGTGGAGTGGCTCAAGGCATAGGCCCTGAGTTCAAATCCCAGTACCTCGAAAAACAACAACAAAGGAATTGCTGGGAGGCTAATCATTTAGGGGATTAATGGATTATAGCAGGGACGGACAAATATTAAGGAGTGGGAGATATTACAGTGAGGTAGTATTAGAGTGACAGAGTGGAAAGCAAGGGATTAACGGGGACCTATGAAGGCCCTATGAATCCAGGGACATGGGGACAACCAGGGAGATGGTCAGGAGATGTTAATGGGGGTGAGATGACAGAGAAGGATTGGGAGTCACTGAGATTACTATGAGGAGTGTCGGTGACAGTGAAGAGAGGTGGACAGGGCTGGTAATGGATCATCTATCAGGTAAGTGTTGGGTTTGTGGGGGTCTTTGGTGGGATCAAGGAGTAAGTGATGGGGAGGTCTGTGTGTCAAGCTCAGTGACAGTGACAGGGTCCTCCAGGCCTGGACTTCTTTAGTCTTCCTGTGCGTTGAGTGAGCTGTCACATGGGTCACATAAGCTAAGTTGGGCATGCATAGTTTTCTCTGCCCTATGTAGGTAGGTGGTGGCCTACTCCCCTGAGAATTGATACAGGCCAACGTCTGCTGACTGCTGGCAGGTTGCTGGGCCGACAGTGCGTGAGATGGGACGGACATCAAAGGACAAGCGGGATGTCTACTACCGCCTGGCCAAGGAGAATGGCTGGCGAGCCCGAAGTGCCTTCAAGCTGCTACAACTCGATGAGGAATTTCAGCTCTTCCAAGGTCCCTGACTGGCGTGCAAGTCACCTGGGAGAGGGGGATAGGCTAGGTCTGCAGAGCTCCCTGTGGTGGGTGGGCTGATTCGGAGGGTCTCTGGGGTAGGGAGACTGGCAGGAAGATGGAACAAAGATCCTAGAGGACATGGGCACCTGAGCAGCATGTAGACACAGGTGCTCCCCAGGGGCGAGGGATGAACTTTGCAGGGTTCTCAGGTTGGAGCATTGGGTGCAGCTGACACTTTGACTATATGTGCCCAGGCGTGACACGGGCAGTTGACCTGTGTGCAGCCCCGGGCAGCTGGAGCCAGGTGCTGAGCCAGAAGATCGGGTGAGTGCAGGGGGCCTAGCTGAGGGGTCCAGGGAGGGGGGCAGGTGGGGGGGAGGAGCTGGGAGTAAAACAGGGCTGACATGGGCCACATTGTCCACAGGGGCCAGGGATCTGGCCACGTGGTAGCTGTGGACTTGCAGGCTATGGCCCCTCTACCAGGTGTGATACAGATTCAGGGAGACATCACACAGGTGAGAACATAGCTGAAGTTCTGGGGTGTGAAGGCCCCCACCTGGGGGCTGTGGAACATAGAAGAGAGACAGCTATAGAAACAAAAGAGCTAGGATTACACACCTGTAATCCCAGCACTCAAGAGGCTCAGGCAGGAGAACTGCAAGTTGAAGGTCATCCTGGACTACCTAGCAAGACCCCATCTCAAAAAAACAAAAGAAGAAAAAGGGAGATAGCTGGAAGTATAGCTCGGTTGTAGAGTGTTTGCCTAGCATAACTAAGGCCCCCAGGTCCATCCCCAGCACTGCAAAATAGAGAGAGAGACAGAAATTAAACAGAGAAACAGAACCAACAGATTGTCATTGCAGAGAGACCACAAGAAATAATGACACTGGGTGCCCAGAGATGGGTTGGCAAAGCCTGTGAACATGGCTGACCCAGAGGCTTTGGGTCCAGGACCATAGCAGGTGGGGGTTGAGGGCAGCAGTGGGGGGCCCTGGACCACTCATTCCCTCCCTCTCTCCATAGCTTTCCACCGCCAAGGAGATCATCCAGCACTTTGAGGGCTGCCCTGCCGACCTAGTGGTGTGCGATGGGGCTCCTGACGGTAAATGGGATGCAGGACCAGTGTCCTACTCTGTATCTCCTATCTCAGATGATATTTTCTGCCTCTTCCCTCTGCTCTCAGCTTTTCTCCCTATCTGGCAACTTCTTCCCACTTCTGCTGCCTGTCTGTTTCTGTCTTCTTCCCACCCCCATGCTTCCCCTTTCAGGTTGGCTCCTTTGTTATTTTTGCTGTGCTAGAGATAGAACCCATGGCCTCGCACATACTAAGCAAGCACTTTGCCACTGAGCTACACCTCCAGCCTTCCCTTTCAGTTTTGTGCCTTTTGTCTACTCCTCCCTGCTCTCAGCTGTCTGCCTAGCGGTCCAGTCCCATCTAACCATTCATGCTTTTCTTTCATCCTTCAATTAGCTATTCATTTAAAGCACATTGTCTGAGCACTGTTTTGTTGGGACAACATTCAAGAAAAAAAATCCACTGATCTCTAACCTCATGGAGCTGATGTTTTAGTGGAAGCAGATGAAAAAGGAAAGAAATGGTTGAGCTATGTAGCATGTTAAAAAGTAATAGGTACTAAAGGAAAACCGTGAAACAGGCAGGGAAGCGGGAAGTACCTGTTGGAATTTTGAATAAAGTGGACAAGAAAGGCCTTACTGACTTGACAGCAAAGACCTAAAGAAGCCGAGGGAGTAAGTCATGAATATGTCTGGAGGAAGAGAAGTTCAGACAAAGTTCAGCTTGTGCAAAGGTCCTGAGGCAAAAGAGTACTTAGTGTGTATGAAGGACAGCAAAGAGATCAGTGTGGTTGGAACAGAGTAAGGGAGAGTGACAGGAAATGAGTCAGAGAGCTGACAGGGTACAGATACTGGTGGGCTATAGTGAGGATGTTGCCTTTTTTACTGAGATGAGAACTTGGAGAAAACTATGAGAAGGTTGTGTGCAGAGGAAGACTATACCTGGTTCGGATTGTAACAGGATTCCAGGCTGCTTGTGCAGTGTGAGGGGCAAAGGCGGAAGCCAGGGAAGGGACACACAGTACTCTAGGTGAATGATGACAGTGTGGTGGCCCAAGTGGGAAGGAGAAGAGGGTCACTTCAACAAGGTCTTCGGAAAGCAGAGCTCACAGGATTTGCTAGGGGTTGTGATGAAGGGGGGGAAAAGTCAAAGAAAACTAAGGTTTTTGGTACAACTAAAAGGGTCAAGTGACGTGGGGAAGTTGGTGAGAGGAGCAGCTTTGGGGAGGGAGTTCAGTAGTTTGGATTTGGACTTAATCATGTGGAGTCTGGTCTGTGACTCAACCTCAGAGTGGCCATCTGGGCTGGAGGGAGAACCATAATGCTGATAGTATGTGAGGTTGTCATGAGGATTAAAATGACTTCCTAAGGGTCAGGAGCTCAGGTTGCATCCAGTTGATAGACAGTAATTTGCATCTAGAACCTCAGCACAGAGAGCCTGAAGTGTCGTTTTAGCTTTCTGATCTGTCTGGTACAAGAAGGTGCATAGGACCAGAGGGGCCCCTAACATTGTTCCTCTCACCACAGTCACTGGCCTCCATGATGTGGATGAGTACATGCAGGCCCAGCTCCTCCTAGCTGTGAGTAACCCTGGCAGCCCTTGTCCTCCTTTGGTCCCTCTTGGCCACCTCAGCCTCGGCTTCACCCTTAGCCATCTGTCCTGCCCACAGGCTCTGAACATTGCTACGCATGTCTTGAAGCCAGGGGGCTGCTTTGTGGCCAAGGTAAGTCTTGGGGAAGCTGGTCAGGTAGAGAGAGAGGTCCCTGAGGGCTGCCTTTACTCCTCCATCTTGACCTCCCCACCCTGCAGATATTCCGAGGCCGGGATGTGACACTGCTCTATAGCCAGCTGCGTGTCTTCTTCTCCAGTGTACTCTGTGCCAAGCCCCGGAGCAGCCGGAACTCCAGCATCGGTCAGTGGGGTGGGCCTGGTGATAAGGAAGTGCTGAGGAATGTGACCTGTGTGAGGTGTGGGGGTAACAGTCAATTACCCCTTACTCCAGATTCTCTCCACAGAGGCCTTTGCTGTCTGTCGAGGTTATGACCCTCCTGAGGGCTTTGTGGCAGACCTATCCAGACCCCTGCTGGACCACTCATACGGTGAGAGCTAGGGCTGGGGGCCTGTCTCTGGGGAGCTGCCCCCAGCCTCATGTAGCTGATGTGTGGTGACAGCACACATGTGTGGTGGCAGTTCCAAACCCTTAGGGATAGTATATACCAAGAGACACTTCAGTGCAGACCATCCCTTAGTGGGAACTCTTGGTCCTAATGAAAATTCTGTCCCAGCAGAATTCTAAGCCCTGTTCTAGGGAAGACTCCACCTGCCCCATGCAGATCTGTAGCCTTACCCCTGGTGGGCAAAGATGACGGAGCCTGCCCCTGGGGAGGTGTCATCTGAGGCAAGTTCCTAACAGTGCACACTAAAATGCCAGGTGGGTATGAGTGCACTGAAACACCAGAGCAGCAGCTGGTGTTTGAGAAGTGGTCATCAGGGGAGCCCCTGAAGAGGTGACGGGAACCATAGGATGGGGTGCCGGGGGATATGTGGGGCGGACCACTGCACCCTGAGTATGACTAGCCCCATTCTCAGTCTTCCCTCCACCTTCTTCTAAGACCCAGATTTCAACCAATTGGATGGTCCCACCCGCATCATTGTGCCTTTTGTGACCTGTGGGGACCTGAGCGCCTATGACTCAGACCGCAGTTACCCACTCGAGGTGAGTGTCTGGACAGCAGGAGATGGGTGGGGAGGCTGTTCTAGCTTCTCAGGTCCTCATCATCTGCCCACTTCCTGTGTGTCCACAGCTAGAGGATGGCTCCGGGTACAAGTACACTCCACCCACCCAGCCCCCCATCTCACCCCCGTACCAGGAGGCCTGCACACTGAAGAAGAAGGGGCAACTGGCCAAAGAGATTCGCCCCCAGGACTGCCCCATCAGCCAAGTGGATGTGGTGCCCCAGCCCACTCCTTAGCACCACACCTTCCTGGGCCTTAGGTCTGCAAATGGGGCTCTGAGTCCACATTGACCCCTTCCTAGTGTGCCTCTTTCCACCCTGACTCAAGTGGTTCCTCTTCCCGCCTCCCAATAACTATAAAACCAATGGATGAATCCAAGCATGACAGATGGAAAAATGTAGCCAAATATCTGAGTCCCTTTTCTTTTTCTTGGGTAGATGGAAGACAATGAAATAAAGTATTCACTTAACAAATAAAGGTAAGTTTGCCTGTTTTTATGTGGTACTGGAGGGTTGAACCCAGGGCCTTGAGCTTGCTAGCCAAGTGCTCTTCCACTTGAGCCACACCTCCAGCCCTTTCGCTTTGTTTTATTTTTCAGATAGTACCTCGCAGGTAGCTTTGCCCTGGTGGCCTCAAACTTGAGATTGCTCCTGCCTCCAACTCCTAAGTAGCTGGAATGTCTGAGTATGGGGCACTTTGCTTTTTGAGATGGGGCTTTTGTTATGTTGCCTAGGCTAGTCTTGAACTCCTGGGCTCAAGCAGTCCACCTAACTCAGTCTGCCAACAGCTGGGTGAACCACTTGCCTAGCATGAGGAAGGCCCTGGGTTCCATCCCAGCATCACAGAATAAGTAAATTTCATCTTTGAAATGTTGCAGCAATTGATAAGATTTCAGTCAATACCCAAGCATCCTATAATCCCAGCATTCAAGACATGGAGACAAGAGGATCACAAGTTCAAGATCAACCTGGACTACATAGTGAGACCCTGTCTCAAAAGAAAAGATTTCAGGGCTGGAGGTGTGGCTCAACTCCAATATTGCCAAAAAAAAAAAAGATTTCAGTCTACAAACATTTATTGAGTATCTGTTACAAGCTGGGAACTGCTTTAGGCATTTAAAGTGTTATATATTGAGGCATTCAGTAAACAATTACAAAGTATACACTGTGTACCAGGCATTCTCCTAGGTTTAGAGATAGAGAAGGGAACAAAACAGGCAAATAGTTCAGCCCTCACAGAGCTGCTTGCTTGAGAAAGAGGAAATGAACAATGAAACAGTCTAACAGTCTACAAATGAACATATAATGTACAACTTGTGTTTCCTGGTATGTATATCTTGCAACACAGTCATGTGCCACATAATAACATTTTGGTCAAAAAAGGAGCACATGGTGCCAGTGGCTCAGGTCTGTAATCCTAGCTACTTGGGAGGCAGAGATAGGAGGATCAAGGTTGGAAACCAGCCCAGGCAAATAGTTGGCAAGACCCTGTCTAAAAAACCCTTCACAAGAAAGAGCTGGTAGAGTGGCTCAAGTGGTAGAGCACCTGACTAGCAAGCGAGAGGCTCTAAGTTCAAACCCCAGTACCACAAAAAACCAAAAAGGACTACATATATGACAGTAGTTCCATAAGATTGTATCACCTAGTGACTTCTAGTTTCATGCAAGTACACTCTGATGTTTGCACAATGACAAAATCACTTAAGGACGCATCCCCCTCAATTTGTCTCTTTCATTAAACGATGCATGACTATATATGTGCTCTGTAGAAATGATAAGGGATATGAAAGGAAAAGGTAAAGCAGAGTGAAGAGAGTCAAATTCTGAGCATAATAGCTGTTTGTAGGTGCTTTTGTTTTGTTTTTAGTGGGACTGGGGTTTAAACTCAGGGCTTTGCGCTTGTAAAACTTGGACCACCCCACCAGCCCTGCAATGGTTACTTTGGAGATGGGATCTCAGACTATTTGCCCAGACTGGTGTTGAGCCATGATCCTCCTAATCAGCCTCCCAAGTAGCTAGGATTACAGGCGTGAGCCCCTGGTGCCCAGCTTTTGTTTCAGTGCCAGTGATTGAACCTAGGCATGCTGCTTGCTAAGCAGGTGCTCTACTGCTAGAGCTGTGCCCCAGCCCCCATTCATAGTTTTTAGAAAGGTTGTAATTGGAGCCCAACATGGTGGGGCACACCTCTAACCTCAGCTACCTGGGAGGCATAAGGATCATGGTTTAAGGCCAATCCCGGGTGGCGGGGAGGGGGGGGGGAACAAATCCCCTACCTGAAAAATAAACAAAAAATGACTGGTGGGGTGGTTCAAGTGGTAGAGTGCCTGCCTAGCAAGCATGAGGTCCTGAGTTCAAACCCCAGTACCACCAAAGAAGGGGGGGTGTTGTGATGGAAGGCCTCCCCGAGGTAGTGATTAAGCTGAGGTAGTGCTTATCTGGGGAAAGAGCATTCCAAAGGTGGAACTGTTCCTGAGCAAGGGGCCAATTCTGTAGCACAATGGGCTAAACTCAGATGTTAGAGGGTGTCCTTTTCTGGCAATGGCCTCACAGGCTATTCAGACTAAGTCTTCTGCTAAAAAGACATCTTAGGGCAGCACCAGTGATCACACCTGTAATCCTAGCTACTTGGGAGACTGAGATCAGGAGGATCTCAGTTTGGGGCTAGTCAGGGCAAATAGTTCACAAGACCCCATTTCTAAAATAAACCAAAGCAAAATGAACTAGAGGTATGGCTCCAGCAGTAGAGTGCCTGCTTTATAAATGCAAAGCCCTGAGTTCAAATCCCAATCCCACCAAAAAAAAAAAGACATTTTAGCTGGCTGTGGTGGCCCATATCTGTTAATCCCAGCACTCAGGAGCATGAGGCAGGAGGATTGCAAGTTTGAGACTGGCCTGGGTTGCATAGTGAGACCCTGTATAAAAAAACACAATTCTAGGGTTAAAGCTCAGTGGTAGGGTGTTTGCCTAGCATGCATGAGACCCTGGGTTCCTGTAAATCATGGAAACAACAAGCATGAGTGGCCAGTGAGATATGAAAAGCCACCCATCGGGAAAATGCAAGGTCACACGAAAAAAGATTGGGCTGACAGAGTAGTGGCTTAAGCAGTAAGAGCACCTGCCTAGCAAGCATGAGACCCTGAGTTCAAGCCCCAGTGCTGCCAAAAAAACACTGAAAAAGATTGATAACACTAAGTATTTTGAAAGAATACACAATAATTAGAACCCTGGTTCTTGAAAACTCTTAGATACTACCTACCGAAGCTACATGTTTTCTGGGATATGCAGAGCGGCAGTATTTGTAGTAGTGTTCCCATTAAACTGTGGGGAACCACACAGCCTACAGTTATACAAAATAGCACCCAGTTTATAAGCCAAACATATATCTTAGTCATTTTTGGTTTGCTTTTTGAGATGGGGTCTCATTATATAGCTCAGGCTAGCCTTGAATTCACAATTCTGCCTCTGCCTCCCAAGTCCTAGAGATACAGGCCTGGCCCACCCGTCCTAACTATAGTATATGCATTTTTTCTTTTCTTTCTTTTTTTTTTTTTTTGGCAATACTGAGGTTTGAACTCATGACCTCAAGCTTGCTAAGCAGGCACTCTACCACTTGAATCATGCCCCCCAGTCATTTTGGCCTTAGTTATTTTTCAGATAGGGTCTCACACTTTTTGTCCGTGGTTGGCTTCAGACCACAATCCTCCTATCTCTGCCTCCCACGTAGCTGGGATCACAGGCTGTATGCCACCATGCCCAGTTTGGGCTTTACACTTACAAAGTGGGGACTCTACCACATGAGCCACACCTTCAGTCCCCAGCTTGTTCTTTGAGATGGGGTCTTGCTAACTTTTTGCCTGAACTGGCATTGAACTGCAAGCCTCCTATCTCCACCTCACAAGTAGTTGGGATTACAGGTATGAGCCACCATAACCTGGTCTCTGCTTTATGCATTTTCCTATGTTGTGGTTCACAGTAAAAGTAGAAAAAAAAGTTATACAACTGTTAGCAGTTTACTAATACATTGTTGTTGTTTGAAGCTCTTTTTTTTTTAATCTTTGACCTGTGATTAGCTGGCAAGTTGGGAGACCTGAGAAGCTGCTACTGGTCAGGAAAACCAGAACTTGAGTTGATGATGTGTTTTCAAATCTCATCAATGGGGCGTGAGCAAACAAACCTGGCGTGGAGATCTCAGCCACCCCCATGCAAGTTGGGAGACCTGAGAAGCTGCTACTGGTCAGGAAAACCAGAACTTGAGTTGATGATGTGTTTTCAAATCTCATCAATGGGGCGTGAGCAAACAAACCTGGCGTGGAGATCTCAGCCACCCCCATGAGGACAAGGAAAGAAAGAGAGAAGTCGGTCCTGCTGCTGTGGGGATTTCTTGAGCCTGTATGAGGACTCGCCTCTTCTCCAAACATTTCCTAGCATGTCCTGATGATGTCCAGGTTTCCCCCCAAAGCAGGATTCCTGATCTGGGTAGATGTCAGGGGACTCTCAACTTGACAGAGGCAATCACAGTAAAAGCAGGATCTGCCATTTCCCCAGAGATGCAAGTCAGTTACTATTTGTAGCCACTATTACAGTGACTACAGGCATCTTGATATTTTGTACCCATTTCTTCCCACTGTGGATGATAGCAGATCTTATAATTTGGTCTTCCGATAAACAAGCCCATTAATTACTGCATCCCAATTTTGGATTTTTGGGTTTTTTTTTGTGACAGGGTCATGCTGTGTAGCTCAGACTAATCTCAAACTCACCATCCTCCTGCCACAACCTCTCAAGTGCTGGGATTACAGGTGTGGCACATCACACACAACTACTTTATCTCAATTTTGTTTCAGTTTACTGTATAGTGATAATTGTATTTCAATGTAATTGGCTTTCATTGTAATTGTGTTTTTGTGTATATGAATGTTTGCTGGGGGGGGAAACAGCACTGGGGTTTGAACTCAGGGCCTCATGCTTAGTAGGCAGTCACTATTACTGCTTAAGTCACTCCACCAGCCCTTTTATGTGATGGGTTTTTTTGAAATACGGTCTCGCAGAGCTATTTGCCCAGGCTGGCTTCAATCCTCCATCTTCCTGATCTCTGCCTCCTGAATAGCTAGGATTACAGGCAGGAGACACCAGTGCCAGGCTGGAATGTGTGCCTTAAAAAAATATTCTTTGGTGGACTGAGGATGTAGCTTAGTGGTAGAGCTTTTACCTGGCACACAGATGGGTTACATCTCCAGCTCTACTAAAAAAAGGTTCCATAGCCAGGAACTGGTGGTTCACACCTGTAATCCTAGCTACTCAGGAGACAGAGATCAGGAGGATTGTGGTTTGAAGCCAGTCAGGACAAACGGTTTGTGAGACCCTATTTGGAAAAGACCCATCACAGAAAAAGGGCTGGTGGAGTGGCTCAAGGTGTAGGCCCTAAGTTCAAACTCCAGCATCGCAAAAAAAAAAAAAAATTCTGTGAGGGCAAGAGCCAGTGGTTCATGCCTGTAATCCTAGCTGCTTGGGAGGCTGAGATCTGGAAGGTCACAGTTTGAGGCCAGCCCCGAAAAATAGTTTGAAAGATTCCATCTCCAAAATAACCAGAGCAAAATAGACTGGAGGTGGGGTTCAAGCAGTAGAACACCTGCTTTGCAAGCACCAAACACTGAGTTCAAATTCCATTCCCACAAAAAAAAACAAATAACAATTCTGTGAGCCAGGCAAGGTGTAAGAGGTGCTTAAACTGTGTTTGCTTAAAAGCACTGACTCCTTACTTGGACTCACAAATTAACTAAAAGCAAGAAAAAAGCTTGGCCTCTCTGCCTTCGTTCCGTATTTGTCTTTGCTCCAAGCCATTCTCTCTGCAGTCACTTTGCAATCATCTTGCATTCCCGGAAGGACAGAACAGAACTGATAATATCTTCATGACAAGGTACAGAAACTACCCCTAACAGTGGAACCTCATCAGGATAGACCACTGCCAGGAGACAATGACTCTGGATAACAACTTCTCAGAAACCACTAAAGAATAAGACCACACCTGTGACTGGGACTGTTTAATTACGAATACCTCTTCCTGCCTCCAGTTCTTTGACTATTTAAACCTATGTCCCGAAGTCGTTGGCTTGAGCCACCGAAGCCCAGCCACCATGTCTCTTTATTTGTATTTGGGGGCTAGTGGATGGACCTGGTGTGTGGAAGCCCAGGAGTTTGGGTCTTGGGTCCACAACTCCGGTTTCAGTACAATCTACTCAGGAGACTGAGACAGGAGGATCATTGGGGCTCAGAGCAAAATAGAACTCCATCTTAAAAAAAAATTCTGGCGGGATGCCAGTGGCTCATTCCTGTAATCCTAGCTACTCAGGAAGCAGAAGTCAGGAAGATTGTGATTCAAAGCCAGCCTGGGCAAATAGTTGCCGAGACCCTATCTTGAAAAAGCCCATCACAGAAAAGAGCTGGTGGAGTGACTGAAAGTATAGGCCCTGAGTTCAAGCCCCAGTACCACAAAAAAAAAAAAAAAGAAAATCCAGAGAACTAGGCCAGACATGGCAGTTCACTGCTGTAATCCCAGCATAGTAGCGATAGAGGCAAGAAGATCATAAATTCAAGGTCAACCTGGGCTGCATAGTGAGACCCTGTTTCAAAAAGAAAGAAAGAAAGAAAACACAACTGTGCTCTACTCTAAAACAGTGACATCACTGTATGTAAATTTTCATTCTCATTTGTATTATAACTTAAAAAAAAGAGCAGTACTATTTGAGTGCCCACAGCTCATGCCTGTAACCTCCACTACTTGAGAGGCTGAGATCGAGAGGATCAGAATTTGAGGCCAATTCAGGAAAGTAGTTTGTGAGACCCCCATCTCCAAAATAGCCAGAGCAGGCCAGGCACCAGTGGATCATGCCTGTAATCCTAGCTACTCAGAAGATAGGGTTCAGGAGGCTCGTGATTCAAAGCCAGCCCTAAGCAAATAGTTCATGAGACCCTCATGAACTCAAAAAAACCCATCACAAAAAAGGCCTTTGGAGTGGCTCAAGGTGTAGGCCCTGAGTTCAAACCTCAGAACCACAATATCTATATAAAACCAGAGCAAAATGGACTGCAGGGCTCAAGCAGTAGAGCACCTGCTTTACAAGCTCAAATCCTTGAGTTCAAAGCCCAGTTCCACCACCACCAAAAAAAAAAAAAAGCAGTGCTTTGCACACAAAATGGCCCAAACCAAAGAAGAATCGTGTGCAAGCAAGGTAGGGGATATTGAGCCTGCCACTCCTTGCGCTCCTTGCTTCACCTGTGCTTTCTGCACAGACACGTCTAGGAATGCATCCTCAGAGGTGGGGCTGCAGCTGCTCCAGGTGCCACTTTATTATTGTCTGTCACCCAGAGCTGTGACTTGAAGAATTTCAAATGGTGAGTCCCCAGCCCCCAATGTGACTATGTGGTAACCCCAGGCTATGCAGGAGATTGGTTCCAGGACCCCACCACCAGCAAATTCCCCGGATGCTCAATGTTATGTTAAATGACATAGTGTTTGCATATAGCAAATCCTCCCATATATATATATATTTTTTGAGACAGGGTCTGTCTGTGTAGCCCAGGCTGGCATTGAGTTCTCCATCCTCCTGCCTCGGCCCCTGAAGTGCCATAATTACAGGTGTGAGCCACCATGCTTAGTTCCTATAGACTTTAAATCGTCTCTAGATTATTTATCTTCCTAATACAATGTCAGTGCTGTCAGAGCTATTTGTGCCTTGGTACAGAAGAGCAGGCATAATGGTGTCAGTTTAGGCCTGGTGGCAGCCCACAGGAAGGTGTGTCTGAATCTCTCTAAGATGATGACACAGGGGCTGCAGAAAATGGAGGTAAATCGTGTGTCACACAGCCTGTGCCTCACCAGATGCAGGAGTGGGGAGCCACTGCCAGCCAGGCGGGACTGATAGGTGAGAACACCTAAGGATAACTGGGTAGGCATGCCTGCAGGAAGGCGTGTGCACATACATGTGTGCATCCCAGAGTGTGTAACACTGTGTGCATGCATATGCTGTGTTTCTCCACGCATGTGTGCACACTTACCATGCTTTGTGCATGTATACATGGCACGTGTGCGTGCGTTCATGCTGTGCTGTTTTGGGTGCAGGGGTGGCTATACATACCTGTGTGCTATCCACGTGCATGTGTGCACGCCCATGGAGATGCATGAGTACAGGTCCCCATGCTCAGCAGGTACATGGGACATGTACACTGACAAGGATATTTGTGAAGCAATCATGCATATGCAGGAGAGGGTGATTATGCATGAGATTCCATAAGCAAACGCCTATAGCCATGGGTGCTAGCCTGAGTGTTTGTGTGTGCGTGTGTGTGTCGGGGTGCTTATCTATGCATGTGTACCTCTGGTGCCCACTCATGTGCAAGTGTGAATGAACAGGTACACACACATGTGCCCAGACCTGGATGTCTGAATATGTGTGTCTCTGGGAGACTGCACATGGGCGTGTGTGGTGTGTGTTTGTGTGTATGTGTGTGTGTGTGTGTGTGTGTGCCTGGGAGGATTTCCATTGGTGCCCATAAACATGTATGTGTGCACAGGTGACTATTTGCCCATGGACCTGGGGTTGGGTATTAGTGCACATATACCTTGTATGAACGCATGTGTGTGTGGAAGTGACCAGGTGTGCTCTTGGCCCTGGTCCTCAGTGTGTGTGCACACGTATCTCTGGATACACATGAATGTTTGTATTTACAAATGCAGGGGTGCCTACAGGGCTAGGTCTGTGTGTGTCTGCACATGTAACTCTGGAGGCCCGTGTATGTGTGGTGTGTATGCTTCAGGTCTTGGGCATGTATGTGCACATAGCCCTGTGCATGAGTGTGTTCATGTGTTTAGCTGTGCACATGGGTAAGGATCTTGGTGTCTGTGCATGTGTATCCTTGGGAGTTCACGTATGAGATTCATCATGCATCTGTGACATGAGTGAGGGATGTTATGCAGATTTACTTCCAACTACCCTTGGCTGGGGATCATAAAGGAAACCAACAAATGCACTTCCTCTGGGAATCCGGGTTTCAGCAGAGCCAAGGGAGTGAAATTTGGATGCATTTGGCTTGTCTCAAATCTTGTTACTTGGAACACAGCTAGAGCTTGGAAAGTGGCACTTTCCTCCTTCAGGTTCCTCCCCATAAACTGAGCACTGCTTAGTGCTCTGTGGCAACTAGAGAGGATGGGGCCAAATTCCAGAGATCCGGGAAGACAAGCAAGGCCTGTAAGTTGCCATGATATGGAACAGAGGAGCTAGGAAGACCCTCGGAGCAGAGAGACCTGTGCCTGGTGCTCACCGGAGGCTTCATGTGAGTGGGGCCCCCAGCAACAGAGAGGAGCTGGACGCACAGGGCTGGGGTATGAAGACAGACAGCAAGGCAAGGGGCACACGAAAGGCTAAGGCCAAGGAGTGAGAAAGCACTTTGTTTGGCTAGAAAGCTGTGTCTGACTCATGACTTGGAGATCAAGTGCCTGGGCCTGGGAGGAGCCCAGAGATGAAGGAGGCTTTTTGGGAAAACACCTATCTGTTCTGGAACAAGTTCCTTAGG